TTGTTCCTGGGGATTAACACCACCCTAGTACACCACAGAAGCATTCTCAATCTTAGCCAGGGTAGTGATTTAGTACAATGTGACATTAGAAACATGACAAAGCAACTTCTTCCAAAAGGAAAGAGAAATTAGGACAATAACTGAAAGTACTTTTAAAACCAGCAGCACAACAAGAGACTGGGGGAGAGAATGTCTGCTCTTGTAGAGCATGATGGATTTGAAGATGCTTTTGTTCAGGCATATAAAAATATTCCAGAGATATGGTCTTTATGGATTATGAAAAAGTCAAGCCACAATTCCTTACACTGTTGTATATCCTCCTTATTTTTTATTTTTTTTTAGTCATACGTGGGGCCATATTTGAATGTTTTTTTCTTTCTTGTCAGCAAAGGTGTTCAAGAAATGAGCACCAGATATGTACACAAAACACAGAAATGTAGGAGAGCAAACAAGTCCAACTATATCCTGGCTAAAGTACTTGCTGCTTGATGTCACAAATCTTCTGTACCAACCTGCTGCTGGTTTGTTAACGGGTCCAGGTGCACCAGTCAGACCTGAGCAGCATTCTTATGTTGTTACCACCATAAACACATGAAAAACAATTCCCTCTCTACTCATGTTTCAAGACAATGGTAGCTGTTAAATGAAGTCAATGGTTTTTGCCCACCAGCATATATCATGTAAGAATTCTCAGGAATGGAGAAAAGGAGAAAAGTCAGTGAAGTGACCTGTCAGCAATGTCACTAGTGCCAGATAATAACTCTTAATAACTGCTATTAGCTAGTCAGAAAATAGAACAGCATTTTCAATCTTTGTTTTACATTTCCTTGGTTTAGCATTTGCAAAGTTCTTATTTTGAAGAAATGCAGAGGCTTGGGATAAAAAAAGATGAGCTATTACAGGAGGACTTGGCATTTGTTTTACCAACAGTTGTGTGTGACTCACTGTTGTGTGGTGCTCTGTGTGCTTTTGCATAAGTGTGATTCCAATAATGAATACATTGAGAACTCGGGTTAATTTATTAGCTAGCAATTTGCTTCTGTGTTAAATTTACTTGTTATTAAAGCACAAATCAGCTCTAAGTCAGTAAAGAGATTAATAGGTATAAATAGGAAAGATCCTGTGGGAATAACTGAGGATCTGCAGTACCTGTAAAAGATGCAGATTAAACCCACTAAAATCTTCTCTTTAGGAGAGCTTATGGCACAACTGAGCAGTGCCACCATTGCCATGAGGAGGTCTAGCTCTGAAAGTGCTGCCTTCCAGCTGATTCCTCTGGCCTGCCATGCACACCTTTTCTTTTTCTTTTCTTTCTTTTTTTTTTCCTCAGAAAAACAAAGAGAGGAGACAGTCCTCCAACTCCAAAAAAAAGAAAAAAAGAGATAAATCTGTGCACTGACTCTGAATGCAAGAAAAGAGAAGAGAATTGTGTGATTCTGAAATAAATTGCTTTATTTGACACTTTTCTAATGATCAGAAGGAAATCTTGAGTCACTCTATTACCTCACCTCTTTCTTTTACTACCTGCAACTTTGTCTATGACAATTGGTGGATATTTTATATAAATTTGTTATTTTCCTTTATAAATTAAAGAAAATCGGGATTAATATGAGAAAAATGAGTCGTTTTCAGGGACACATTTAAAAATCAAACTGAACTTTAGTAGAGAACATGTACAAGGAAGGCAGCAGCTGAACTTTAGCCCCAGAAACAGTGGTTGCACATTTTCAGTGGGTAGCAGGGTAGCATTAGTGTTGCATTTAGGCTCCAGCCAGTTTTACACAGTATCATAAGCTTGTACTATTGATCTGATGAACTGTGGTACCTTACTTCATGAAATAACTTCTGTGTAATTCTCACCTGTAAGTAGGCAGCTGCACAACAAGGGATTTGCTCTGGAGTAAAATTTCCAGTAGTGAAGCTGTACTTACATAAGTGAGAAAGGGAATTTGTATTGCACTATGTTGGGTCCTCTGATCTCTCTTAGTAGGAACAGGGAAAATCTTGTATCTTTTCTGAATACCTGTCATCACAGGTTTGAGGTAGAATTTAATTAACAATATTTCCTGCAATCTTGTCTTGCCTGAAAGTCTAATAGATTGAGTTTTATTGGAAACCACTTCTTCATTGAGATGAACATGAAAGTAGCATGTCATTAACTGAAATAAAGTAACAATGCAAACATTTTGTGATGGCAGATAGGAAAAATTACCAAGTGAAAAAATTAACTAACTTTAAAATAAAAATAAAAATCTGAGTTTTAATTCCAGAGCTTTGCAAAATTTTGTATCTGAGAGAAAGTGCTTTTCATGCCAGCAGCAGCAAACTCAAAACACATATGGTATTAAACATTTGATATTAAATCTGGGAAGATTACCTCATAGTCATAAAAATACTTTTATATAGTTTATAAAAGGTGAAGTCTAATAGTCAGTATGGCAGCTCAATACATAAGATATGTATTTCTGTATTAGGTGTGAACTACATGCACATTTGATTCTGAAAAGCAGAACTCAAAGTTATTTTGAACATCAACAAAATTGAAACATTACCCAGAACATGTATTTGTAAAAATTGTATCTTTAATAGTATAAAATCATCAGTCTAATTATCAACACTCTTAAGGTACTGTAAGTAAGCTGTAGGGATGCAGCTTATTTAGACTCAATATATTGTACTTCACTGCACATGATACCTATTTGGCAATGTTCCAGTGTACATTTTCTGGAGAAAATATTCTGAGTTCCAGTTTATATGTTGGCACACTGACCTGGATTTCTGCTAGCCATCCATCATAACTGGCAGCTACTGCATGACTGTATATAGCAATCTCAATAGGTTTAAAAGATGGATATCAGGAATTAGCAGGAGATGAATCTGAAAGGTTGTGGTTTTAAAGATGTAACTAATCACAGAATGAAAAGGGTTGCTTGGACAGTATATTTTTAAAAAGAGGTTACACATGTCATGTGCAATAGATCAAGTTTAACTTTTTTATCATATAAGTGATTTTCTTAATATTATTCTCTGGAATGGTTTCCCTCTTTTAAGTTTATTTGGATCAGTTGAGATGAATTATCTCTCTATTCTGAGCTGGCAGTGACTGAAGGCACAAAACTTCAGGAAACCTGGAAAGGTTTTGCTCTCTAGATGCCCTGTCTGAGAAAAAGGTGAAGAACCTTTATCATGACACAAGTGTTTTAACTTTGTTTTCAGTTCATCAGATTGAAAAATGCCGGAATCTTTCTGCTGTGAATGAATTAGATCCCATTTATGGGAACAGATGGATCACCATATTTTAATCTGTTATGTTTAATCTCACGCTTGTGAGATTTACAATGTACCTCAGAGCTCTAGAGGAAAGCAAGATCTTATTTTCCAAATTATCTACTTGGAATGGATAAAGTTTGAGGTGTCCTAATGTATGATGCAACAATGGTTGCTAAGACTTTTGGTTAGTTTGCTTATTAATTCTATATGTTAATAAGCATTTTCCTAAGCATGTTCCATTTTCTCTTTATTTCACTAATTCAAATGCAGTTGAATTTTAGGGATGATACATGGTGACTAAAGGTTTTTCTCAGTCTTACAGACATTTGTTCATTTCAGGTTATTTCCTCACAGGTAAACTGTAAACCATTACAAACAGCACTAAATTGCAGTCTCTTTCAAACAAGAAATATGCCAGGAGAACCAGTAAAAGGTGTTATCTGTGATTTACACCAATCAGAGGGAGATTAAAACGAGCCCCATGGGGTAGTGACAATAGTACATTCTGTAAAAGCTGCCTACAAAGCTCAGAAATCACTTAGGAAATCAACACTTTTGCATTTGAAGTCATGTAGAAACACTCTTTGTCACTAGAGCACCTGGTCTTGTGGCCTAGGCTCCAAAATCAGCCAGGCTGAGGGTTGTTCTGGAAAGCACAATGTAGATTAGAATGTGTATTCAGATAAACTGCCACAAATTTGTGCTAGCAAAAAAGCATGTCATCAATGAGGATTTAATGCCTGGTTAAACCTGCAGGCTGACACTTGAGGCATACTTAGGGAGGTTCTTATGGTGATGTTGGATGGAAAAGTGGCTGTTCTGTCCACCAGACAAACCCAACATATGAAAGAAATGTAGAGCCTGACTTGTTTTAAAACAAAAAAATCATCCTTCCCTTGGTGTCGAAGAGGAAATTTAGAGTTATGTACTTCCAAAGTAAGTCTATCACAGAGCTAGGAATTACTTGAAGGGAAAAAAGCCCTGGGTTTTAGTCCTAAGTTGCCTGAGGTTCATCAGAGCAAGCTGTTTGTTATAGGTGTCTGCCATTAGAATAATTTTCAGCAGTAAAATTCCATTTGCTCAGTGTTTGTACTGCTGTTTTAAAGGCATCTAACTCCCCTTGATCCCACATGAGTTTCAGTGGGGATAGCTGGTCATTTTGGTGTTTAACAATGGTATCTCTAAGTTTCTCCTTTCATGTGTCCCTCAATCTTTTATTTCTTGGTGTACTTCTGAAAGGATGATTCTGGATTCATGGACTTCAGGTGGATCCTGTTGCCTTTTATCTCAATGTGCTGTGTCCATCACTGGCATGGCCTGTGGCCAGCCTCCCTGGATATTGAACAATTACATGAACAAATTGCATATCAAGTATATGAACAATTGTGCCAGTGCTAGATGAGTTCCTAGATGGGGATTCTGTGATTTAATCCTCCTCTCTGCAATAGATACATGTTTCCTGACCATGTCAGCTGGCACGTGGAAAGCTTGCCCAAATACTTCTAAGTAATCAGCCATACAAACTTGAAGTCTACATTTACATTTGAAAAAATACAGCCCTGCAATGCTGTAGTATTTTGCATATCAGTGTTTGTTTTCTTCTACATTTGTTTCAAAGAATATTTTTTGCACATATCTGTCCTTCAGCACAAAAAGGCCAGAAGATCAAGTGGGTCAAAGGTTCTGCTGGTTCTTATTTTTTATATCTAATATTTATTTCTCCTCACCAGGTGATTTGTATATTGGAGGAGTGGCCAAAGAAATGTTTAAATCCTTGCCCAAGCTGGTGCATGCAAAGGAGGGGTTCCAAGGCTGCCTTGCATCAGTTGACTTGAACGGACGGCTCCCTGATCTCATCTCAGATGCTCTCTTCTGCAATGGGCAAATAGAAAGAGGATGTGAAGGTATTAAATATGCTGGTTTTGTTGTTTTTTGGGTTTTTTATACATACATATATATATATGATAGTGAAAGTACTGTGCCAATCCTGCAAGGCTTTTTTGATATTTACACTCCATATATCAAGAGACTATATTTTACCTGCTTCTAATTGATCTTGCTTCACCCCTTCTTACATAAAGGCTGTGTTTTTTAGTATTATGGAGACAGGCATATGCCTGCCCTAAAGCACAGAGATTAATCTGAGAACATGAGTTAACTTCAGAATGTTAAATGTAGGTTCCTTACTTCCCAATAGCAAGATTTTTTTTGCATGTGTTTTGTTTACTACTGATGTATTTTAATTAATGATAACAACAGTAACAATTAGCTTCAGTGAAGTTCTTTATATCTTCATAACACTCAGGCATTAGTTAATGCTGAGACATTAGCTAAGTAATTCCAATTTTAAAGCAGACATTTTGAGTTGGTTAATTCAAGGCTAATTTATGAACATTTTTAATACCAATCTTCTATCTTCTGTATTTTTGCTCACCCCTTAAATTAGTATTGATATGAACCTTTCTATCTGAAATCAGTAACAGACAAATATGTTTTATCTCAAAATATTATGCCCTTATTGACTCATCTGGTATATCATGAAATTTAAGTGAGGACAGAATTAGAAGAAGTGTATTTCTAATTCAGGAATGTCAATCTCTAGCTAATTTTCCAGCTGTCATTTGATCCCACATTATTTTTACTATGGTTTATGGAATAATTTGAATACATTTTCTGTCCCTGCATATATAATTTATTCACATAATTCAGGATTTTGTGTTTATGTTCAATTTTATATGTGCTCCCTTCTCTCAAGTGCCATTCTTCTCTGGACAGAAAAATGTGTAAATGATATTATAAAATTTATTTCAAGTTGGAATCTTAATGATTTTGATATCAAGTTTGTTAAGTATGCAAATTGACATTGTAAAAATCCAAGGAGAGCTCGGGGTTCCTCAAGTTTTAGGAGATAAAGCTTCCTGGTGGATAAAGTCTGCCTCCTCTTTTGTTGTGCCTACAGAGCATTTGGACAAGTGGAACATTTTTGTTCTTTACCTACTACTTTAAATTAGCAATATAAGTTCTATTGTTAGTATATAGAAACAGACACTAAAGCTACAGAAAAATAGAAGATAGGAATTTTGCATATGTCTTTCAGGAGTGCAAAAATATGTATTAGTTTGCCACTGAGTCTAGAAAATTAGATTCTGCCTTCTGAATGGTTTTAGCAATTCCATCCCTGCACCATCCCTCCAGAGAGTCAAAGTATGTCTTAATTCCATTATGCATTTCAGAGCTTCTTTTGAAATTATGTAATTTCCTAAATGAATTTTCTCTACTTCAAAGAAGTATTGCCACAGGCCTGGTGTGTGAATTCACCTTTTAAGCCACTGGCACAACCCAGCTATCAGTGGATTTAGTAGAGCTACCAACAATTTAATAAAGGCCATAAAGCAATTGTCCTTTTTGGTAGAGAGTGAGTTTTTCCCAGCACCAGAACCACCTGACACAAGAAACTGGTCAAACCAGATGTGCTGCCTGGCTCCCAGAGAGCTTCCTCCTCAAAAGTCTTCTCCCTGCAGAAGGAAATCTTTAACAGCATGGAATGAAATATCCCCTTAACCTGCTTTACCTTGCAAGTTATAGCTTCCATCTCACTTGTTTACTTCAAGTCCTCATGTCTGACCCATCTGTCAGTCTTTTGTTTGCAGACCATTGACTCAGATTTCCAAAAATCTGTTCTGCCACCTAAAAGATGATTTAGGTCATTTGTGAATTCAGGTGCCTCTGGCATGCCTCAAGCTGTTCCTACCTCTGCTGCTGTGTCCAGCCAGGACTTCTCCATCCTTACAGAGCTGGGAGTTGTGCACCAATCTCACCTTGCCACTGGATGTGTCAGACCTGGAAGTCTCCTGGGACATCAGGTCCAAAGAGCTCAGGACACAGCAGCAGAAGTAATTTCAGAAGTGTTAGTCACCACCACTCTCAATCCCAAAGACAGCTGGTACATGCCCAGTGTTAAGACATCAGGTTCTGCAAAATCTGTCCTGAGAAGTGAGGCACTTGGATTTGCTGTTTTTCAGATTTATGGAATTGAATTCCCCAACTTTCAGGTACACATCAGGGGAAAAAAAAACACCAACTACAACTACTCTTTTTCTTTCTTCTGTCAAACTGTCAAACTCTGAAGCCATAATGTACTTCTAATTAATTTTATCTGTTAGATTTTGTACTTAATTTTTTTTTCTCAATAATTTGATGGTCATAAGTGCATTTTGAGCAAGGTCACCATGGGATTGCTGTGGCATGTTGGAAGGTTTGCCTTTTGAAGCTTCAACCACAGGCAGAGAGATATCTCTATCATTGAACATGAAACATAATTTACACTTGGCAGAATCCATCTTCTTGACAAATTTTCAATGACTAGAACAGATAGAAGCTAACAGCTAGAAAGATAAATATGCTAACTAGCTCTTTGAATTGTTAATACCAAACCCCAAAGCCAGGTTGTGTCTACACAGTTTTCCTCCAGTCAAATCAATTGTACTTCCTTTTCCCACTTAAAATATGATACAACCATAATTTTTATAGAATTATAAGAAAATGCACTGTGTGTATATGTGCATATAAAATGCAATTTGTGTATTATTTGAACTACATGGAAAAAAATCACACTGTTAACATACATGAAGATTCTTGGTAGTGAGATAAGAAATTTGTTTTAATAATATATTGTAAAGCATCTATGTGTCAGTTTATTATGCTTATTGTGATATATATTGCATGCAAGCCCTCACATAGGACAAATGTAAGGAGATCCCAAACTCAGTGAATTAAAACAGCTGCAGTGAAGACTGAATAAATTAGAATATTTAAAAAAATAAATATGATAAAAGAAAAAGAGCTAGAGAAAGGGTGCGTTGCAGTATTTTTACTTACTACCTTAGTACCTCAATAAATAAATATATATATAGGAAAATATGAGCTTTTTAGGGTAAATATCATAGTATTTACCACCATTATACAGGTGTCTTCAGTTCTTTGGGGAAAAAATAATCCTACTTTTGCTAAAAGAAATGCTTATATGTAAGCTAGTCTTGATGGCAATTTTAGAATAATGACTAATATAGATAAGCCAAGAGTGCTAAGGATCAATTTGATAATAAAAATTAAAAAAAAAACCTCACTTTTTATTGTAACTATATTTTTTTCTAAATATGTGTTTTCACATGCACTTCCTAATGTGCCTACAGGGTCCTGCAGTTTATGTACTTTCAAGTCCTTGTGACTTCTGCTCTACTTTTGCAAAGATGAGGAAATTCAACATTGCATAACTAAAGTGTAAATAAATCCATGAATATATAACATTTAAACACCTACAGATATTTTCACTTCAGTTTTGTAAAGTTTCCGAGTAGCAGAATCTGGTGAGAAAAAATTGTGTCTTGTCAGCTACGGGATTCTGTCATTATAATCCTCTGCTCAAGAAAGGGTGATGTAATGCCCAAATGTTTAAACTTCTGGGCTCAGAACTCCAAAGAAAAAGAAATCACTATCTAATGTCTGCCTGCTGCAGTCAGCTGTAGATGAGGATGATATTATTTTTTTATCATCATTATTATTACTATTATAATTATTAATTTTATTATTATTAATAATACTTTTGTTTTTATTGTTACTTTTATTATCCTAAAGGGATAAAATAGAAGAAGTAATAATTTTGCCAAGACAGGGATGCAGTGTACCTTTGCCCTCCCTCTCAGTGACTTTGATGACTGTTCAGGCCCTGCTTCAGAGATTGAGCTGTGCCTCATTTTAAGGAAGAGGCCATGGAGATGACTTAAATCATATTGATATGGATTTTTTAAAAATACCAGCAAATCGAAAGAAAATCCCACACTGAGATATTTGAAGGTCTAATGGGAAAGAAGGGTTACAAGGATTTCTCTCTGGGGTGTGATTTTTAATTTATTTATGTAATCTTTGGACCAGCTTTGCCCCTTTACCATCAATGACTGGCTGTGGGAATTTCAGACAGATATTGATGTGCCTCCCCCAAAACAATTTGGGACAATTTTATAATCCCAGAACCAAACTTTTTCCTTGCAGTGTGAAATGTGTGTGAGAGCTCATAGTAAGCTGTGGTTCATGGTCTGCATTTCAGCCTTCATTCACCAGCCACAGAGAGAGGCCTAGAACAAGGCAGACCACAGAGGATGATGGTGCTAATTATTCTTGAATTCACTCTATCTGAACGTGACTAAGGGCTAGTCAGGATTCAGCCATGCATTTACTCTGTTAATGCATTCATAGGTATCCAAGGAAGAAAAAAACCCCACACTTTTAATTTTCCTCCATTACATGTCATCAGCTCAATTAACCATTATATTTCTAGTAAAATACTGGCAAATTACTGCTTTCTTATTTTGGCTTGCCTGAAGATTTATGGCTATTAGCATTAATTTGTTTGCATTATATGGCATTTCTTTCTCTCTTTAACAGCAGCATGCACTTTATTCTGAATGGTTTTTTTCTGTGTTTGCTGCCATTTCAATATTGCTTACTAACATTTACTATATTTTGCTTTTTTTTTATTTTGCTGACAAAGTTGCATTGATGAAAGCTGATTTGCAAGGTAGATAGCCCTGTGTGTATTAAACAAGACTGAAACCCCCAATGCACAGTTGGATTTCTGCAATAAATGCTCTGTACATTTCAGAACTAAAGTGTGCTATTTCTTTGCTGATTTTGCCTTTCACACCTCTAAAAGAATGGGCTAAATGAACCTTCATTTTCCAGCATTGCTTGCATAAAGGCTTTCAGTCTTGAATATGTTTGTACAGTGATTGCTTTAGTGCTTTGATCATTCCTTTTTGAAATTTCTTTATATTTCAGTAGTCTAGTTATGATTCTCTAGAAATAGAGTAGCTTTGTTTTTTTCATGTGTATGTCACATTTTGGCATGCCAGTTCATTAGTAGTCTGATTTTCTGCATTTCCCCTTTTAGAAGGAATCTGCATGGGATCCCCAAAGCATGTGAATCGGTTCTTGTCAACATTCCAGCCAAAGAATCCCAAACTCCTCTGAATTTCAGACCTAAATCATTTAAAATAATTGGTGGGATTAAAATAATTGTAGTAGTGTAGCTTCATTTTATTATTTCTTAAAACTTGTTTCATTTTTCTATTTCATTATCCAGTCTTTCATATCCTAGAGTTTTGATTCCTGTGGCATCTGGCTTTGCTGTTTGAAATGTGTTTACAGGAAGAAATAATGAAGTTTTTAGACAATGTTTAGCCAGTTAATGGTCTGATGCGAGATTAGCAAATAACTGACAACAAAGTTAACATTCCCACTGTACCTGGAATAATTCTGCTTCTGTTTTGTGCAATCTTATGTGTTTGACATAGTGATCTTACAACTAAAGCAAACCCCCCCATTTTAATGTTACATGCTGCTCCAAAACCAGTGAGTTGATGTGCATTTGACTTGGTAACTCTTTGCTCATTTGATCTGAGATGTTGGCAGCCACTCAGTGTGACCCAGTGGGAAGTGCCTTTCTTTGGGAGACGAAGTGCAAGTCCTTTTCTGTGTGTTCTCACTAGGCCCCAGCACAACGTGCCAAGAGGATTCCTGTGCAAACCAGGGCGTGTGCCTTCAGCAGTGGGACGGGTTCAGCTGTGACTGCAGCATGACCTCCTTTAGTGGACCATTGTGCAATGACCGTAAGTACATGGAAAAATGTCCCTCTGAAAACCTGAGACAACGGTTGAAGCAAGTGCCTAAAGCTTTATGTTGTTTTAATATTAGATATTTAACTGGACTGGTAAACCCTGTGAAAGTCTGTAAGGCTTGTGGTAAGAACAAAAAATATGCTTTATAAATTTTGGACAATGCGCAGTATCAAACACAGACAGAACTTGGTTTTGTTGCACTTGATTCCAAGTCTAATATACTGATGGTTACCTGTTTGATGCAGCCCCTTTCCTGCATAAATATTTCAAATGGATTTTTCTTTTCCTGATTGAAAACACATTTTACATTTTGTTATCTTAATGTAGCACTATCACAAGGGCTATAATTACTGGGAAACAGTTGAGAAGGCTTATTATCTCCCTTTGTGGATTTCTTTAGGTGACACACTAAATATGCCAATAATAAAAGCATGCTGAGTATTTTAGTTCTTTTAGATTTCATCTGAATAACACGCAGCAACCATCTGGTCTTCCAGGAAAAGCTTAAATGTGTCAAAAATAAGGGTCCTGATTCACCAGCTTCATAATGTAGTTTTATTCCAACCTAACCTTATTGATCTAAATAGAATTATGCAGGAGTGATGGTGGAATAATAATGGAAAACCATAATGTAAATGATAACAGTAAGATGCTGACTTTTGGTTTTAATTTATCACATTTGTAATATCCAAATATTGCACATTTTTATACCCATAAGAAGATGGGATTTCTTTCAGGTATTTTTATTTCTATTTGTATACTTTTATCTGAAAAAAAATGACTGATAATAGGAAGTGTTGTATAACTGCCTAGTCAAGTATTCTGGATTTTTCTGTCTTGTTCTGGTTCTCCAATCTACAGCAAGGCATGCCATCTTGGACAAACCCAAAACCAGCAGGATATTTATAATCTGAAAAGCTTTTGCCTCAAATTGTGTTTATCACGGGGCTAGGAAATTAACTGCATGCAAAAGCTAATAATTTATTCCCATGACAGTTTGAAAACTAGGGAAAGGATGAAAGGACTCATTCTGTTTCTCTGCAGTTGCTCTTATGGTAGAAATGAAATGTGATATTGAAAAACTTTCAATGATTTGAGCAAAGGTTTGGGTTTACTTTATGTATATGAGTTTGCACTTCTCAGCAATGCACATGATTAGTCATATTGCTAAACATACATTTTTAAAGTTTCATCCCCCTACCTACTACAAGACAAAAATGTTTCTGTTTTGCTTTTACATTGTTATTTCTGTTTTGTGATCTTTTGAGTTGTTTCAGAAGTAACTAAAACCTGTGAATAGAAAGTTGGAGATATAACATCTAACAAAGGAAAAACTCAGTTTATAACTTTTAGTAGTAGTTGTTGTGTGGACCTGGAATATTCTATGAATTATTTCTTCAAGTGACAGGTAATGCATAAATGTGGCAAATTATGAGCTTATTTAAGAAAGATATTTACGTGTGAATGCTCATTTATATAGTAACATAATGGACTACATTGCACACAATTCAAATATTTCACAATATGCCATGTCTGATGATGGTAAGAGAGTCCTTTTAGAAGCTCGTTGCTAAAAATACTTTATTCCCAGAAAAAATCTTTTTAACTGTTTTTTTTTTTTTTTAATCACAAGCATGAAATATAAATTTATCCTCAATACTGATGTTTTGGAATAGAATGCAGAGTCTAGCAAATATAATACATTTGATTTCTGCTTTATCTTGGTTCCTTAGATTAGTTCAGATACCAAAAAAAATCTGCAAAGCCTATCTAACCAGAGAGAATTTTTGTAGTGGTAAATGTGCCAGAAAGGAGGAAAAATGATGTTGTCAGTGTCATTTGCATGCTCTGAGCCTGCTCTCTGCTGTGTTTGGGAAGAACATAATGGGAAGAGAAATGATGAAATGTTACTACAGCTTTTGAAAAGTGGCCCAGGCTGCACGCCACAGACTAAACTTCATGGCACTGAAACAAGACAAATTCCCTTCATGTGAGGAAACCTTCCAGTGACAGGTCTGGAATAGCAGCTGCTTGTTGCTGAAAATGCATCCCCTTCAGGAAGGATGTAGGCACCTTCCTGAGCATCTTTCCATTGCAGATTGTGCGTGGAGCAGCACTGGTTGACAGGAGCTCAAATTTAACCCAGTGTTGCTACTCAGGCAGGCCCTTGGCTCACTTTGCATGTGAATATACTGTTTTATATAAAATGGAATGCTTAAGATGTCAAAATCTCATAGACAGAATTTTTTTTTTTAGTTCTCAAACCCCAGCAATGGACCACTTAAAAATAAGTGTCAGTGGTAATAGCAGAAACAGTTAGAAGTACTCAGTCCCTTACCCAAGGTGATGATATCTCTATTAAAACACAGTTAGAAAGTGTGCCATTCTTGCCAAAATTCTGGACAGATGAAGGAGGAAGGGAACAAAACAACAGTCAGAGAAGAGGGAGTGGGTGTTCAGATGGGTGGGTGTTCACTCTCAGCCAGGATTTAACCCATCACACCTCACCTCTGTTTTGCTCCACGAGTTCTTAAGGGGCATATCTAAGCAGAAACGTCAGTGATAAAGTTGCCAAGGTGAGAGGGAAGCTGTCCAACCCCTCTGTTCAGAGCAGTCAGATTGCACAGGTTGTCTGGGTCCTCTGCAAAGATGGAGGCTCCATAAGCACTCTGGGAAACCTGTCACAGTGCTCATTCACCCTCTTGGTAAAAATATTTTCCTAAAGTTTAAATTATATTTCATAGATTTCTGTTTGTCCCTATTGCCTCTTGTTCTGTAACTGGGCACCACTAAGAAAAATGTCTTCTTTACCTCACATAAATCAGTTATTTCATAACATTGATGGATCCTTACTGAGCCTTTTCTCCTGGCTGAGTAGCCCCTGCTTCCTCACCCTCTCTTCATAGGAGAGAACTCTTGATGGCTTTTGTGGCCCTTTGCTGGGTAAACATGGGTTTATTCCTGTGTTCTCATGATGTTCTTGCACTGGGGAGCCCAGCACATGGGGGCAGTGCTCCAGATGCATCTCAGCAGTGCTGAGTAGAGTGGAGGGATCACATCTCTCAACCTTTCTGCGGCATTTTATCACCATCTCTCACTTCTCTCAACCATTCTGCAACATTTTACCACCAGAAACTGGTATTGGGCTTTTTTTGCCATGAGAGCACATTGCTGACCCACGTGCAACTTGTTGACTATCAGGATGTCCAGATCCCTCTCTGCCAAGCTGCCTTCCAGCTGGTCAAGCCCTAGCTTGCCCTGATGTGAGGGTTTATTCCTCCCCAGGTGCAGGATTTGGCATTTTTTAGGAGGTTCTTGTCAGTGCATTTCTCCAGCTTGTCAGCATCCCTCTGAATGGTAACACAGGCATCTGGTTGATCAACCACTCCTCCCAGCTTCCTATCATCTGCAATTTGCATAAATGTGCACAAATTACCTTGCTGCATTTGAGCTGATGCATTCTATGCATTTCCCATAGTAACCCCAGAGCACTGAAGATCTGACTTGCATCATTCCTGGGCTTTACAGTGCAAATGTTTCACTTGTATCATTCTCATCTTAAATTTCCAAAAGAGGAGATATGGAGGAAATAATGAAAGCAATGGTTTCATGGAAAGTGACATAACACATTTCACTGTGCAAGATATTTCTTTAATTTTTGTGATAACAACTACATATTGCTCCTGTGCTCTTCAGTGTATTATTGGAGGTATGTATGTGGAAATTAAAATGAAAGCTTTTTTTCTTTTAGGGACTACACTCCGATAGAAAAAGAACTGGGTCAGCTAAGTGCAAGGCTATAGTTTTAAAAGTGTAGTCAGGAACAGCAACTAAAAAAGTTGTAAATATCAGTAGTCCAGTGAGTATGAAGTACCTTAAACCTTCATGGTGGCAGAAGTGGGAACTTTCAGTGTCCCTGCTGCAATGTCCTATCTGCTGGAAGATAAACACAGCAGGACAAGCTTAGACCCCAAGTTGCTATCAGGTTAATAATTTTTTTCTTTTGACATGGTATGACACTTAGAGATTTGGGGCACCAATGCTTTTTAGGTGTAATAGACAGAAGTGTTACACTGATTAACGTAAAGCTTGCAGTAGTGGTTTTTTCTACAAGTGGTATCATACAGAGACTGTACTAAAAGGACAGGTAGTGGCTGTTCTTACAAATAGACACACGTCCAATGGGAAAATCATCATGAACATAGTAAACATATCTAACAGCAGGTTATGTGGTGAAAGGTATCCTCCCAGGGAAGTCATCTTTTCTTCCTTTTTTTTTTTTTAATAAGAATAGGGTTGAAAATTACTCTGGCACAGCAAAACAAATCTATAAGAGATTATCTGCTTTCCATAAGTTTGCACTGGTTTTTATTCGGGCAGTCTTTCAGTACAGCCGTATTAGTGAGCGTAATGGCGTGTTTGTGGAAACAAATACTGCTATTATGGCATGGAAAATAGCAGACATAATAACATTGTCATATTGCATTAGTGCAGAAGTGTTCTGTGCCAAATTACAGAGCAGCTTCAACACTGTCTGTTACCTTAAAGAAATAATGTACTGGTGTTGTACTCGTGATAACCAACACTGTGTCAACACTTGCACTAAAATCCACTTCTGAAGGGTTAGTGCTTCACTATGCAGTCTCTCCTGGCTAGGAATTCAACATTCTCAGCCATTTTAAGTATAAAATTTCTTTTTAAAAAGTTCTTTTATTTTATTTTTACTCTTTATCAAGAAAAAAATCAAAAGCCCTAATATAAATGGAGAACTCTCTCAGTATTATAAACATGGCTTCACAAAAAATGTTTGATTTTTTTGATATTTGTTTTTATTACAGATATGCCTTTTAGCTAGACTTTACCTGTCTTTGCCAGATTAAACTCCAAGTGTGTCTTGGTTTTCGTAATCCCCTTCTGCATTGAGGGCTGAAACATGTATGTTTCCAGAAAAAACAAATCCTAATTATTTCACACTGAACACATTGAATGGT